ATCCTTGTCTTTTGCCTTAAACCATAATTTTAGGTACATGGTCATTTTCAAGTTTTTGTTATTTCTAAAGGTTGCTTGCTGAGCTTTGCCTTCAGAAAACTCACAAAAAGAGACTGACAATGTAGATATGTTGTGGAACTGAGAAGACCTACCGAGCCTATAAAAAAATGAATTTATAAAAATTACCAACAGAATCGAGACTTAATACACGGGAAAAGTACAGAGGAGGATTTGTATAATATTTAATGACTTTTTAAAAAATATTGGTTTTTAATGTTTTGTTTTGTTTTTAATCTCTAGAAAACTTGTCTTTAAACTGGGCTATGATCTTAGCAGTGGCAATTTGCATCTTCTTATGTGCAAACTGAAACATTTGCTTTTCTCTTCTCATCCCCAAAATTTGTAGGCAATATATGCACTTCTCAGGACAATGTCTATCTTTGCATAATCTCAATAGGGAATTTTATTTCTCCTTAAACTAGAAAATTAAACATGTCTTGTTACAAGGCTTTGAGTAAAATTTGAGCTGAGCTGAGAAGAGCAAACCAAGAAGAGCATGTCACCTTGATGAAGGACAAGAATAGAAAAAAACCTAAAGGAGGCGCCACAAAACCAGAAACCTGGCTCACACAAGGAGGTGGGGGCAGAAGAGATTAGCATCCACACAGTTGGGGAAACCAGTATCCCAAGGGTTGGTCAACACTAGGATCCCAAGGCTTGCACGTTCTGAAGATATGGAGATTGAGCCCAACAGACCCCAAAGGTAAAGATATGGAGATTGAGCCCATTGTAGAATCTCCATCCCTTTCAAATTCTATGTGGTTATCCAAAATTAGCAACCAACTGACAGCTCACAAGGAGTGACCCCTCCCAAACAGAAGACTATATCAGTGCACAGGCTCGGGGCAGCATCCCATTTCCCACCTGTGACTATGCAGGTGTCCCTTTTCACCAACTCTCTCCCTCTGCAGGGCAGCAGCCTTCCTGCCTGCCCATGACCTGTCAAGGCCGCCTGTCTGCAACCATGCAGGCCTCTTAGCAAACCTGTCCCTTTTGGGACAGCTCTTCCTGCCCACTTATGTCTGTGCAAATGTCCTTTATTCCTCTGTCCCTTTCCCTAATAAACCTGTTCTTTAAATATAACTAATGCCTCTGTCTCGTGGAGAAACTTGCCTGGGAAACTCACCCGTGTCCCTGAAATGGGAGCTCCAGTGAAATCTTTCCCAGAGTGAACCCAAGGACCCCACACTCCAAATCCATAGACTCCAAAAACGACAACAATCTTGCTTACTGGGTTCCAGAGACCTCCATGAAAGGTGAGGAAGCTTGCTTCCATTGGTAGTTTTAGAGGGATTAGGATGTCCTAAAGCTTATTCCATTCAGGCTTTGAGGACTCCACCCCCACTCCAGACCAAAGCCATCAGGACACTGGGAAAGACAAATCCCATCACCACCAAAGGGAAGGTTGTTGGAACCTGAGGGTGGGGTTAAGCAGCCAGTTTGGTATAAAACCAGACACGTGGGCTTTGGGGGGGTTCCCTTTTGGCTCTCTGCCAGCTCGCGGCTGTTGGCATGCTCTCAGAGTGCCATTGGGTTTCCAGGTCAGCGGATCGAGTAGGACGCATTTAAGATTTTATTTCCCTATTTTCTCCCTGAGTTGTACATTTCCTCATTTCCCCTTCCCTTGTAAATAAACCTTTTATTAACCTTTTGTGTGTGCCTGCAGTGGAGTATTAATAAGTCCCTTTCAAGCGCACAGGTGAAGACCCACAGCCAGGCAACCATTTTATATCGGGGCTGCTCTGTAACAGTTGGACTGGAAAAACCCTGGAAAAGGCCCTGGGAACTTGAGAAGAGGAAATCTCAGGAGAAGTCTGGTAATGTAACAGGGTGGTCCCCAGGAAAGGGGGAGGTTCCAGGTTTCCTGCCCCACCCAAATGGACAGTGGAGCTGAGCAGGAAGAGAAGAAGCTGCAGCGGAGACTGAGAAAGGAAGGAAGCAGGATGGAGAGCCAGGAGGAGACTTGGTGGTGGCACATGGAGCCAAGAGACCCGCGAAGAAAGTGCACTTGCCTTTTGGTCGTGGACTGGGTGACACAGATGTGGGTGAGAGACCCGTGGGGAGGTGACAATGGCAGTTTTTGTCTTGATTTTAGTTTTCTCTTTTCCCTCCAGACTTGTCTGGTTGTTTCTGATGCTTTGCTGTGGGTCCCCACTAGAAGATACTTTAGACTTGGGGCAGGCTTTGGGGCCTTGCTCTGGGCCAATAGTGCTTGGGTGGACTTTTACCCATGAGGGGACGGGTAACATTGGGTGCTTGATTTAAAAACTATATTCTTTGCCTTTTCTGTATTGTTTCCTAATTGTATCAGAGTTCCTTCCCATTAAAGTCTCATGTTTTGTGTTGATGCGGTGGATGGCAGAACCCATTTAGAGTAGGCAGATTTGCGGGGTTTTTGGCTGCCCCTCTCCCTGCCCTGTAACAGTAAGACTGTGACTTTGAAGCCTACATGAACTGGGTATTAAAAAGCTCACTCCAGGCTGTGGCATTTTCAACAAAGCCAACAACATCTTCTTGGTTATTTTGCACTATGAGTTTATGGAAATATAGGTAAAATTGTTTGAAATTTGATTTGATTTACTATTTGATTTACTATTTACAGAATTGGGAAGAGGATAGAGAAAAAAAATTATGTCTCAGTAACTATATTAGTCTCTGGTCCTCTTCGGTGAGGACGGTATCCTAAACGTCATCATCTTGAGAAAAGAAAAAAAATAATCCCTATTACATTTAGAACTATGATATGTTGTATACCTTACTACTGTCACAACTGCACTAAAGCCTTAACATCCTGTCAGGAACTGTGCCAGCAAGTGCAGGCCTTCCATAGTAAAGAGTCCTCCCCCTCCCTCCCCACCACAACCCTATTCAGCAGGAAGCAGCCAGAGGTTTCAACGCCTTTTTCCTTTAGAAATGGAAGATCATAACAGAGAGTGGGGATTATGATGCAGTTACAAATAACTGGTCCCTAAGAATTAACAAGTTTAGCAAGTTTGTCTTTTCCCTATTCCCTGCAATTTCCCCTTGTTTGACAGGTTTGTCTTTAGGGTCCTCCGCCTCTCAGATAAGCATAACAAGTCCTCCTGCATTTCAGGGAAGAGGGAGCTAAACATCAGTTACTGAAGAAAAGCAAGCTGCACCCACCTTTCCTCTTGAAGACCACTCCCACACCCCTTTGCAGACCCTAGTCCATCTCCTTTTTTTCTTTCCCCTTGTATAAATACCCCTGCACTCTGTCAAAGAGCAGGACAGCTGTCTTTCAGACATGAGTCTGCTGCCCTCTTCATTTGTCGACAAATTAAACCACTTCCCTTTTCCTCAAACTCTGTTTCCTTTGGTTGGCTGAGGAACACTGAGGCCTGCATTCTGTATCACTGGTCCAGCTGATTAAATGGCCTGTCTCTCAGCAGGGGCAACTGTAAACAGAGTCAAGGGAAATGAAGAAGTGGGGACAGTAGAGTCCAGTCTTCTCAGTGCCTGTAGAGAAGGGTTGCCAAGAAGAGAGCAGTGTGACCACAGGCCCATAGGCTGGGTCATGGGGATGAGGCACCAGTGAGCTTACGGAGCAGCCAGACCCCACAGCCCAGGGAAGGAGGGAGACACGGGAATTTCCTTCTGTGGGTCCCAGAAGCAAGAAGAACAATGGCTGGGCAGCCATAACCCTGGCAGTGCCAAGATTAGCAGCAGGGCAGGGCACGGGCCTGTCTGAGACTCCAGAGGCTCCCGTGTCAGAGGCAGGGGTGACCTCAGACCAGGGATGGGCAGGGGTTGGCACATTCTCCTCCCACTTTGGTGCCCTCCCCAGAGGAGACTGTTTAAGCACCTCCCTCCTCAGACATATATCTAGGGCACTGTAGGCCGGCCTGCCAGTTAGAGCAGGTGCACAAGCTGGAGCCCACTTCCCCGCAATCTGATGGTCTCACAGTCCCTTCTAACTCCTACATTTGATGTTTGACTTTTCAGGAAAATGTCCCTTTTTTCGGACTTACTAACTGCTCACTCAAAGAAAAACAAAGTGGAAATTTCGGATCATAACTTCACAGATCCCTCCTCCCTACCCTGAAGCTGAGCAGGGTCCCCTGATGTCCTGCTGTTCGTCCCAGTAAAGGGAAGAACTTCTGAGCCTCACCCTGTGTCAGGTCACCCAGTGGGACAGTGTCCCAGATTGTATCACATTTAAATTTTTTTCTTATTTTTTTATTGAGATAATGTTACAGGCCAGCCCCGATATAAAATGGGTTGCCTGGCTATGGGTCCTCACCCACGCTTGAAAAGAACTTATTAATACTCCACTGCAGGCACACACAAAGGGTTGATAAAAGATTTATTTACAAGGGAAGGGGAAATGAGGAAATGTACATCTCAGGGAGAAAATAGGGAAATGAAGTCTTAAATGCATCCTACCCATTCCACCGACCTGGAAACCCAATGGCACTCTGAGAGCTGTCTAAGACCCAAGAGCCATGAAGCCAAGAAGCCCCCCCCCCAAGACCCACATGTCTGGTTTTATACCAAACCTGGCTGCTTAACTCCGCGCTCAGGTTCCAACAACCTTCCCTTTAGTGGTGATGGGATTTGTCTTTCCCAGTGTCCTGATGGCTTTGGTCTGGAGTGGGGTGGAGTCCACAAAGCCTGTATGGAATTAGCTTAGGACATCCTTTTCCCCCTAACAACAACACTGGTTTTCACACCATATAGGAGTCTATGCATAGGGTCACCCCTTTTTATATGTATGTTACCAACCACCTCCCCTACCAGGGCACCCACAATCCTATAGCTCCCTTCTATCTGAAACAGCCCACACTTAAAAATTTCATCCTGGCTTCACAGAATCTCTAAGAAAGGATTCTCTCAGGTCACTGAAAACTAGGGTCAGAAGAGCAATAACTTGATTTCTCCCCATGCTGCTTCCCAGAGCTCCCTGATTCACAGCTCTCAGCCCTGCAGGGAAGCATCACACAGACAGGCCTTGGCTGGGGCAGCTTCAGGTTGCAAGTGTGTTTTATTGAAGAGGCAGTGAGGAAGTTAACTGGGGGCCCCACACAAGCGTGTCTCACCCCCAAAGCCACATGGTACAAGCCTCAGGCAGGGATGCTGGTGTGGGATGGCAAGGAGCCCAACTTGAGTTATTCCCATTGGGGCAAAGAGGAAAAAGCTCAGGAGAGTAGGGGCCATGAGGATGAGTGGGGGTGGGAGTACATCTCTATCTGGCCTCAGATGAGACCTCTTCGGAGCCATCATAGTGGACGGGCAACAGAGGGTTCCCTTTACATGCAATGATGATGTATCTCTTTTCGTTAATAGCTTTGTAACTGGAGCGCCCTTTTTTCCTGAAACACTCTGTGATGCTCATTGGGGACCTGCTCTTGTGACAGTTGTCCCGCCCATTCTTGCAGGTGATATTTGGCTCGAGACAGACAGCCTGGACAGCCTCCATGGGCTCGTGCACAAAGGTGTTGCACTGCTTCCCTGAAATATTTCTGCTCTTCATCTCCTTTTTGCAGTAGTTGGGGCCAAAGGGGCCGTTTCCGGGGTCCATGTGATCATTCTCAAACTTCGGCCAGGAAGGCCGGGCCCCCGCCAGCACCAGCAGCACCAGGACCATCAGTGAGAACAGGACAAGGGACTTCAGAGCCATGGTGGCTGCGCTTCCCTGGAGGCCCCACCTGGGAGAGGAGAGAGGAGGAAAAGCCGCCCCTGAGGAGAAGGACCCCGCTCCCACTGCTGGGCTCCCGGGCTATAGGTGCCCCTTAGATCAGCAAGAAAATCACCCTTTTCCTGTGAGATTTGCTAGGTAATCAGCCACTATTGTTCTCAAGAGCATTTTCTCCTGCTTGCTAGAGACACTCGATCCTCCCCTCTGTGGGTGAGCGCCAAAGTGACCAAACCCTGGCAGTCCTGTCTGTGACTACTCAGCTATTTTGATGTCAAATACCATGTGTACCCCATGCTTAACCGCCTCCTTACAGGATCCTTTCACATAAACCATGAGCTGCCCTGACACTCAGGGTCAGGTTGACAGACCCTGCTGTCCTCCAGCTCAAGGAGACTCAGCCCAGTGCCTGAAAGCAGAATTTGTTGTGTTCCTTAGAGAGATGCTTTCCTTTCCTAACTAAGGGCTGCTCTTTCCCCAGCCCCACAGGGTCTCTTTGCAGCTGGCAAGCTCTACACCCTGCCCCTGGCTGTGCCTGGCCCAAGCTGTCTCAGAGCTGGCCTCTCCCCTCCTGCTCCTGCCTCTCCACCCTCAAGTAGAAGCAGGTCCAGAGTCCACCTGGTGGACACTCACCTAGTTTGGTGACCGGGAGAGAACGGAGTCCAGTTTCTTCAATTCTGGTGTCTCTGGGATTCAGATCTTATAGAGACTACAAGGGGCGTGGCTTCTAAGAGTGGGAGGAGCATCTGAGGTTCATTCCAAGGAAGAGGAGGACAATGCCAGAAGGTGGGAGTTTGTCCAGGCTTCCCTCTGCTGGGAGGGGCCTCTCTCCCACGTAGATCATCTGTTTGCTGGTTCTCCAGGAGGAACAGGAAGTTCATACAACACTGATGTCTGAACCCTAACCTAGTCCTGGTTTTCTTTTGGTGACCATTTTCAAGTAATATTCCTTGGAGTTAACAAAGGGCCTGTAACTTGTGATCTCAGGGGAGTGAGGGATGGAAGTCTCTCTCTGCTTGGACTGGAATCCTGAACAGCTTGGACTGGAATCCTCATCTCCCCATAGTAGTTTTCCTGGAGACAGAGGGGAAAGAGAGGTGTCCAGCTGTGCCCTCATAGAAAACTTCCCCATTCTGGAGAAACAGGGAGGACTGCCTGAACCAGGAAGAGAAGGAAGCCTCTGTTTTTGCAATGGGCCTCACCAGTCCTGGCCACTTCCTGCCCACTTTTCACCCCCAATACAGAAGGTTGGAAATTTTTGTTGGCACTTTTACTACAGTGACTACTACTGTAGTTTTACTACAGTTTTGCTACAGGGCAAAGTAGAGGAAATAAAATAAACTCTAAATCCCTTTTGGAGAAAAAATAGAGAGCATCTGATTTCTTCCAACCTAGACAGAGAATTATTTGTTTTAGTTTGATGTTTTTTACTGACAATTTAAATAACTCAGACATAAATATAAAAAAAAAATTTCTGTTCTCTGGATTTAGATAGTCTCAGTCCAAATTCTGATGTGGCACCTTAAGAGCAGGGCAAATTATATAATTTAATTTCCCTCTTCCTCAGTTGCTTCATCTCTAAGAATCAAATGTTCATATGAACCTTTTTTACTAGGAGAAAATAAAGCAGACACAAACGCTTATAGCAGTGCCTAAAGCATCAATGTATGTAACTAGTGAATGTTAATTTGTGGGTGGTGGAAAATTCCCTAAGAAGTGGGTTAAACAACAGTGGACTGAGCCTTCTGAGATGCTGCCTACACAGGTGCAGTCTAGGGACATCACACTTGCTTTGCTCAAAACCTGAGTTGTAATTAGTTTTTGAAGCTCTGGGAAGAGAAGAGAGAACTGCTGGGAAAAACAGAATGCTTTAAATGAATTTTTTTATTATTTTGAGATGATAGCCTAGAAATCTGTAAAGTCAACATTATTTTCTTATATGCATGGATTTGGATATGGACGTGGGGCCAGGGAAGACCTGGTGGGATGAATATTAGTTTCATGCTCCTTGTCTCCCCCACAACCCCAGCATCTACTCAGGTTTTGTCTGTTCTTAGTCTTCAGTAGTATTCATATCTTTTTGTTTTTGTTTCTGTTTTTACAGATAGTTCTGTTACAGGGCAACCCTGCTCTAAAACGGTTGCCTGACTGTGGGTCCTCACTTGCACACTTAAAGGGACTTACACTGCAGGCACACACAAAAGATTAACAAAAGGTTTATTTACAAGCGAAAGGGAATGAGGAAATGTACAACTCAGGGAGAAAAGAGGAGATAAAGTCTTAAATGTGTCCTATCCTTTCCGCTGACCTGGAATCCCAAATGACCTGCTGAGACTAAACCTGCCTGGCCAAGAGCATGAGCCAAGTGTCTGAGACCCCATTAACATGACTGGGTTTTATTTACAAGCAGAGAAAATGGCTGCTTAACTCTGCCCTTAGGTCCTCGCAACTTCCCTTTGGGGGTCATGGGATTTGTAATTCCCAGTGTCTTGAAGAAGTAGGGGTGGCATCCACAAAGCCTGTATGGAGTTGCTCAGGACATCCTTTCCCTCTAATACTTCTGTTTTGTTAGCACTGTCACCCCTTGACTCCTTCCAGAGTTGACTGGGGTCCTTTTTACCTTGTTTTCATTAGACCTATTTCTAATAGCATTTCTGCACTTTTCCACAACTTCCAAGCAAAGAGGAAGGAATAGCTTCATGCCATTCTGCAGAATTTATCTGGATCTTCAGAGGAAGTGCTGGTGAAGGGAGATCCGGGGCCGGGGCCAGCGAAGGGCTTTCCATGAGAACAATTTCCTTTGGCCCTCTGGTGATATTCGGTGCATCCTTGTTTGTCTTTCTCAGAAATTAACTCAGTATCTGTTTCATCAAATATAGGGTCTTGTTTAAAAGTTCTGGAGGGTGGAAAGTCCAAACGCATGTTACCAGCAGCTGGGTCTGGCAAGGGCACATTTCCCGGTCATAGACAGCCTCTCCTCATGGGGTCCTCACGTGGTAGAAGGCTGGTTTCCTTTCTTTTTCTGGTGTTGGCAGAACACCTTCCTACCCACTTTGATATCTGTTCAGGGATTTGTGATTTAACTAACAAAAGACAAATTAATAAAATAGACCAAGTTATTCTTATACATACGGAGAGCACATACACGCAAAAAATGGTTCCCTGAAAGGGTAAAGATAAGGATGTATACAGCAGATTAACAGAGAATGGAAATGCAAGAATAGGAACTCTGTAAGATGCAAATGTGTGTTTTTGTTTATCTGGTAAGTTAAATGAGCTCTTAGGGGAAGAAATGGGAGGTAAGATAGTTGTGAGGTTGATTCACAGGGATGAGTGATATGACTTCTTCTTGGCCATAAAACTTCCCCCCAGAAGAGATTCACTGCAGCTTTGCCCTCAAAGACGTTTCTTCTATTCAGATAAGGGGAAGCTGTAAAAAAGCTTCTTTGCTGGGCCTCCCCCCTGGCGCAGTGGTTGAGAACTGGGTTGAGAAACTGCCCGCAGCCTCTACAGCACCGGTTCGATCCCCAACAGGGGCGAGGGTCCCACATGGTGTGCAGACCTCTCCTGCTGCCCACTGCTCCCCTCAGCAGTGTACTTCATGAGTGTGCCTGCTCTGCTTGCCCCTCTGGCTCTGGTGAATTCTCTAACCCTCCCTTGCTTCTGACTGTACCCAGTGCTTGTGTAAATAAATAAATAAATCTTTAAAGAAAAAAAAAGCTTCTTTGCTGACTCTTAATGGCTTCAATTTAAAATAATTTTTATATCAACTTAGGGACCCAACTAAGTAAGTCCTCACAGAGGTCAGTTTCTAATTTGTCCGTTATTCACTAAAGAGTGGGTACACAGAGATAACTAAGGCTCAGGGCCTGCCCTCAGGTGCCTGGGGGGCACAGATTGTCAGTCAGGCCAGTACCAACCAGGTGCTGGGTATGGCTGCAGGAAAGAAATCATTCTTTTGGCAACTTTGTAGTGAGAGACAAATTTCAGGCATTGGTCCAGCAAGATAGCAGACTCATGGTTCAGGTATGAACAGGCCTGTGTGACTCAGAGAAGGTATTTCAACATCGTCCTTCCCAGGGCATCCCTCACTATAAGGGGGCATTGTGCCTGTATGTGACCAATTTTTGGGATTTTAATCTACCTACACGTGAGCCATCAAACCTCATACATATTATCCTGGCCCTTGAGTCCATTGCAGAGGTGCATCCCCCCCCCCTTGTTTCAGGGTAATAGAGTCTGTGGAACTTGCTGATGCTTCTGCTGAACTAAGTCTAGGCTCCAAGTGGAGTTCATGCTACATCCTGTCTAAGACACTACTCCTAACTGCAAACAGACACATTTAGCACTGACTAGCCCTTTAGGGTGTTCTGCCTCTCTCCCTCTCACATACTACTCACTTGTCCTCTCCTGGTCCTCCTGGAGTGAAGGGAGCCTCATGATCACCATATCTCAGGCAGAGAACTCTTCCTCACTCAGATTTATTAGATTCCTAATGAGAAACCTGATCAATGTTACTTGTAGATAGTATAACCATATGACCAAGGGGTACCCCAAACTGCTAGTGGGTGCGCGTTCTAAGGCTTTCTGACCATCTGCGTGGAAAAAAGCAAGCAAAACAGATCTTAGTGTGAAATATCTTTAATAAATTTGCTGTGCATAGAGACAAATAATAAAACTAATAAAGACTAATAAAACTCCAAGTGTTACCCATCCGTTAATGGATATTGCCCAGCCAAACAGTGCTTGACCCAAAGGAACACAGTTGAGGCCTAAAAGCGTGTCAAAAATCATCATGGTGGCAGGATAATGGGTATTATCTCAATTTCTGAATTTCTTCATGAAATCCCCATCATGGGTTTAGGGTAAATGTTTTTTTTTTTTTCTTCTTTTTTTAAAAAAATATTTATTTATTTATGCATACAAGAGTTGGGGTACAGGCCAGATATGGGGGGAGGAGGTGAGAAGATTCACCAGAGACAGCACCAGGAATAGAACAGGCAGATCCAATGAAATACACTGCTGAGGGGAGCAGCAGGCGAGCCAGGAGAGGTCTGCTGTGCCATGTGGGTTGCTCCCTAGCCAGTCGGGGATAGAACTCGTGCTGCAGAGGCTGCAGACTGCCCCACAGCACGTTGTTTAACCCCTTGCAAAACCAGGAAGGCCCAGGGTAAATGGTTTTCAAGCTTTTCTGTCCTCCCGGTTAAGTTTGCCCTGCCTGATGGGGCACCTACAGTTGCTACATTGTTATAAGCTGTGCTGTTTACATTTGTGGGCCATGGGAGGAGTATTGAGATAGTCAGGAGAGAGGCAGCAGAGAGAAGGGGAGAAACAAAGCCAGAAGAGAGAGAGAGAAGCCCAGAGTGAAGACTTGCAGAGGGTTTGGGGGCCTGGGGGCCTGGGGGCCTGCCAGCCTCCTGGGCCCCCGCACCCCTGCCTGCTTCTATCTGTTTGCCACACTACATGTAAAGCTCAATAAAAGCCTGAGAAAGTCACCCAGGGCTCCAGGACTCCTCCTTTACCTAGTCTGGTCTGCTCGGATCATAGATAATCTGTTCTGTGCCCATCCTGCCCCTATGGTTACCTGTCAGAAACACAATCCCAGAAACACTGTAAAGGAAGAAATGGCCAAGAAACAAAGCCTCTAGGGACTTTCACAT